GAAGCAGGTACGTGGCCTGACCAGTGTCAAATTATTCCGTTTACCCTAATTAAGGTGCCGATAGTTTATGGTTTTTTGAACTTCATTCCCATGCCACTCTAGTTTGTAAGGTCCTACCCTGGCGCGACGACTCCCGTTATTCCACAACAAAATACGAACACAGTACAGATTTCACGAATTCAGGCCTGTCCAGCTTGCATCTACGAAGTAGCGGGAGCTTGCCCGCCTCTCATCTCGAATGCTTTCGGAGTTCGAATCCCGACCTTGGATCTGTACTGCTGATAAAAACTGGCAACAGCGCGGGCGTGAATTTCCTATCCAGAATGAAGTGGAAAGAAAAAATGTGAATTGCCGTTTGGTCATGGAATTGGACCTAGAGTATTACTACAGCGACTGGGTGCTTCCGAAGGGACTGTAAATGTACAGAGACAGTCGAATCATACTGTCATTTTGCGAGGAAGTCCACAGCAGTACAACCTCGTTGTAAGTCACTTGGTCAATTATCTGTTCGAAGAGTTTGGCAGTTTGCTTGCAGACGTTTGACCACCAATCGTGGAGATATCATCGTTTAACAAGTTTGATGGCGAAACTTCTGCACGTAAAGTGCCAAGCCCGGCGAGCAGATCAATAGCCATCCGGTCAACAGCCAATCAACTCACGCGAGGTACCGGTACATTGCCAAGGTGGCCTTTGCTCAGTGTTGACGCTGTTCCGCTGAAAATAATTTCAACCCCATTAGATGCAACCTCATAATTCTGCAACGTAATAATGTGCTGTCATTCGATGGCTGTAACAAAAATCGGTGCCTGGGACTCAGTTCGACAGGTAAAGTTTATTGAACAAAGGAGGGTACAGTCCAAAGGCCGAACCTAGAATAGCAGCGAGAATAACTGCGGAATACTGTGTTCCAAATTTCACGAACACAGTATTCCCTCCAAACAGCTGAGGTGCAATCCATGGGTTAATCACTTCTTGGTATGTGTGCTTCGTCTTGAGCATCTGATGAGAAGTGACATTCTGCCTGAATCCTTGGATAGTCTGCCCGCGTAGAACAAGTTCACTCACGCCCCGGATTTCGTGAGTCCCATCGACCTTGTGCGTTAGCCTAGGCACTACCACATCGATATTATCCGACTGGTGAATAAGCAAGTCGTCGATACTCACAACTCTGAATGAATCGATATGACCATGCTGGCTATTTCTGACCGAATGTCGTAAACTATTTTGATTTCCACACAGAGGTAAGATAAAGACGATAAGTGACGTCTGACGCGACACTGTGCTTTGTGCCAGAACGAGTGCCATATAAGGGTCATCTAATGTCATCGGGTGATGTACAACGAAGTGGTCATTCCAGTGGTAGATAACGCGGTTAGTTTCGGTGGTAAGATGAACTTTGCTCCACAAGCAACTAAATGTGTAAGGACAGAAAATCTATCAAGGAAATACCCATCAAGGAAATGCGCACAGTCAAACATTTGGTGATATTTGGTAGGACGATTCCCACCATTTTCCACGCAAGAGTCCTTTTGGACAGAACTCCAGGTAGAACCTAGATTTACTCACTATGATTTTCATTCGGCGACAGCCAACAATTCATTTCACAGAACGACGTCCTTTAGTGTTCGGTACCTGTTTTCCCTTTCGAATTTCCCTGAAAACATGTCTGTCAAAAAAAGTGTTCATTACTGGCTGATCTACCGTTTAGATGTCGTCACGTCAGTCGGCTTGGAAATGAAGCTACGTTGTTTTCACTCGGTTCAACTCCACAATCATGTGCACAAGCATACATGTACTGAATCATTTCGAAGGCATGGCGCCCTTTTTGAATCTTTGGGTAACTCAGCTGCGTAAAGATATTCAAAATACTTCGTTCCACCGAAATATCTCATTGAGCAAGTTAGTAGTTCCGAACTCGGGCATGTAACACATTTTGCTCATTTGTTGAACACGATATAATTCGGAAAAGTTTCCTCCACTTTCCAACTTTACTACCTCATCCAACTAGAAACTAGGAGGTTGGGAGTGTTGTTCGGATGAAAAAGCTTCGGGAGTTCAACACTGTCAAATTCTCACATTCTCCATCAAGCAAGTTTCCCGAGAATTAGCAAAGTTTGCAGGTTTTAGTTATTATCCAAAGATAAATAAGTTCTTTCAAAAGCTCGTGCGTCCTCTACGGTAACAATCTTCAGAAAATGAGCGATTGGTCACACTTTAGAGAAATTTGTCTATATAAGGTAGGGGGAAAGATACTTCATGATTGACTTGTTTGTGAGTAACCCTGAAGATTTTTCATCTGGAAGACTGTTAATCTATCATGGGCAATACATCAAACACATTCATCAAAATGTTTTGTAGAAAGCCAGAAAAGTACACTAAAGTACATGCTATGTTAGTACAGAGAACCAGATACTGGATGACTATTCTGGAGGGTTTAAAAACAGCGGGCAAATGAGTTACAGCGGAGCCATGACGATCAACTATGCATTGGTGCTGTTTCTGTTCATCAGTTATGTAAGCGCAACTGTTCTCTGCAGTAGGCAAGGCCAATTAGATTTAACAGGAATCACTATGATTCAATACTACTCGTGAGGTCTGTTAGAGATTTGGATAGCCCATTACCGGTTTCACCCTCTTTAAGGCCTATCTCCATCAACCTTACTTTCTACCTGATCAACGACTTGTACGTGAGGTACAAAGGCTCATTACAAATAAAATGCAACTTTTCCAGTCAATGAGTTGACATCCACCTGTGGTCTTGAGAAACGAACAAAAACACCGGGATAATCGAACTCAAGGATCCTTGTGCACGTGGAATAAATTAGTGATAGTTTGTAGTTTCTAACTAACACTACCTCGGAACCCTTGCCTATCCTCGCATTTAGGAAGCCAAGTTCACTGATTTTCAGCTTCATAGCCAATGCACATTGTTAGATGCACACAGTTTGGGAAACAGTGTCGTTCATATGGCCGCACGCAGTGTCAGATTTTACACGTGTCATGAGATAAACTGACACATGTAACAAACAACGGCCATTTATTATCACATGATTTCGTTTGGATTTCCACAGTTTTATGAGAACACCACTGGGAGGAACGGGGTGCACCGGTCGGTGAGTTGGTTCAACGGGTCTCGTGATCTTGCGCCCCTCTTGATAGCAGGTCATTGTACTAGTGATCACCCACCCCCACCGCTTAATTAGCCTTGTTGACAGCTTACCGGCTACATTGTGGCATGGCCTGAGCTTGCTATTGGTCAGCGGTGATCTAAACAGCCGATTGGTTCGCAAGTATCTACACCAATTGTCGATTGTACTGGTTGGAAAACACCCATGATTTCACCAACAAAGCGTTTGAGGCTGGCAAATTTTCTAAATCATCATCAGCTTGCTGCTGCGTAGTATGAGTGTATATGATGCGTAAGAGAAACACAGGAAGCCCTCTGGAAGGGGGTCTAGTAGCACTTACGTACATTAAACTGACAATGCCTAGCTGATAATTGACTCGCTTTGTCCTGAATACAAGATCAATTGTACTGGAGTGCTGGTTGCAACCTTGTCTGTTTGCCCGTAACGAGTGTGTTCATTCTGCTTCACTTACTTCCGGTATGCGTGAAGGGTGAAGACAATTTGGTATTATAGTTTAACGGTTTTCTGGTGTAACTGTGATACTACTGATTGGGGGGTACGCGAGTAGTATGCTTTCTCGTAAATCCGATTTGTGTCTCTTGAAAAGTGAGATCTATTACGAAACTTGTGGAGTCGCATTTGCTTGGATCTGAGCAACAGTCAATGAATATCCAGGAAAGTTCAGGAAGACGCGTAAAAGGAGAAGATGGATATTCAGTTTTTCTAAACAAGATGCATATGAGGGTTTTGCTTCCCTGTCTGTAACTGTTCGGTTGGCACTTTTTAATAAGTAATTCCGCAGCGAAGGCCTTCTTTCCTTTCACTGGTGTCTAGCGCGTCACAAGTAACAATGGCGCTTCTAAGTGGGCCTGCACCAGTTTGTGGCGGCCGACTGGGGTGGAAAGCTGACGGGTCGTTCAACCAATAGAGGACATGTCATCGGTCAGCAACGAAAGTCTGTCCTTGCTGCTCACAGTGATGATTTCAGTGGGCGGAATAAAGCTAAGGATGTTCACGACAGTAGAGGGTGTGGGGATAGCGGGTAAAGCAGACAGAAAGTTATGGGATGGTGCGTTTCACTTCAGGCTGTGGGTGGTCCGGGGTTGATGTCCTAGACTGATCAAAACACATGCTGAGAAAGGCTTGCTATAGATTCTCCACCCCACCGTTAATTAACCAGGTCTCCACCTTCTGTTGTTAACGCAAGCGGTCAGCTCACATATCCACCGGGGGTGTGGTTGGTCACCACGTTATAGATTCTCCACCCCACCGTTAATTAACCAGGTCTCCACCTTCTGTTGTTAACGCAAGCGGTCAGCTCACATATCCACCGGGGGTGTGGTTGGTGGCCCCACCAAGTTATACAGGATGACCGTCTTTGTAGGGGGAGAATGCGTCTCAAAGCGTGCTGAAGAATTTATCTTCGTCCTGACACTTTGAATTTCCCACTAAAATTGTGAATCTCCACAGAAAGTGACATTATTAAGATTGTCATTATTGTGAGAGGGTTGTTCTAGAAAAAGAGCTAACCAGTCCGTTTAACTTGCTCTATCTCGGTTAACGTGCGTGTGACTCACCTTTCTGTTTACTTGCAACTGGCGAACGATTTCACAGTCCGAATGACATTAAAGAAAATTCCCAAGTGGCTAAAGTGGGGAGATGCCTCTCACTTCATTGTACATAAAATAAGTTGAGGAAGGTAGCATTCGCTTTCGTCGAGGAGGAGGGCCTTTTTGACCACATCTTCTATTGGCGGACCGACTGTATTGGATAATAGTGCGTTCACAAATAGTGCAGACCTTGGTCCTAATTGAGTGAAAATTGATCTGATTGACTTTTTTTTTAATTGAATATCCTTCCAAACGAAGGATTCCAATTACGAGAATTTGGCTGACGACACTCGAGATATCGCTAATAGAAAACTCCTTTCTTTTTTTTTTTTTTTTTGGGGGGGGGGGGAGCCGAAACCATCGATCTAGGTCATACTATGGCCAGGAGATGCGTGTCCTATTGGTAAAGAACATTGGTGATTCCCTGGTTCGCAAGTAGAACAGCAAGATTTCAAGGGGCAGGAACTCGGACTTTCAGGCTCAAGATCCTGCCGACTCTACCGTGACTCTGATTTACTTCAGGTTCGAAGCACGTCCAATGTTTTCGCTCCATCTGCCACAGTAACGGAATTTAGCGTCAGTTTTACTTTTCTGCTAAAATTGGCCTTTTGCTTGAGTTTCAGCCACTGAAGGGAGCACACCGGACGCGAGAGGCTGAAATTTATTGGTGTAGAGGCCTAACCGCTATGAATTTCGTAAGCATGAAATAAACACTAGTAACTTCCTCCGACGGGTTTCGGTTTCAGCCACACGTTCACTTTTGTGATCTTTTCTGCAAGAAGGCGGATAACACAGAAGAAGCTCAGCTTTCTCAGTTCACATCTGTCGAATAATAGACAACAAACGATAAAAAAACGGCCACAAAACTGAGATAGAGGAAATTGCAAAGTGCTTATAAGCACATGTCGGATATTCTCCTCATTTCACTAGCTGAGGACTTACCGTCCGGCTGTGTTCATGTGTACTGTCGTATGCCTGGTGAACGCGATATCTCCTCCCTCTGTCATGCAGCGAAATGCACCAGCATCGCCGTAATAAAGTTCCTGATGGTCTCTGCGACACAAATCCTTGTTTCCACCGGTACAACGTTCGCACAGATTGAGGTTGTTCTTGCCGGTTCGGTCGAATGGTGCGTTCAAGATACCCGGTACGCATGCTCGACTGATCAGCTCGGCTATGGTCAAAACACAGATATATGTATTAGGGAATTTCTTTCTATTATGGGCATTGATTTACACTTAACCTGAATGCCAGTCAGCACATTGCTCACTACTGGGTTCCTCCAGTCACTGTATTTGTTTCGCAGTCGACAAAAATTGACCAACTGAAGTGTGTCAGTGCATTGACTTTGAGTTTGCTTATCATTCAATACCCCTCAGATTTTATTTTCAGTAAGAATGCCTACCGAAGGACGAAGTAGATATGATACGATCATCCTTTGGCCTGAGCTTGAAACCACTACTCATGAGTATATAGACTCACCAAATGCGTACAACAAATGCCCATTCAGTACGATCACTTGTCTCGTGTCCAACACTAGGTTGATGGGCACAATCCACCCGGTTGCTTTGCCCACTCCACTGTGACAGGTAAATCGGTGTCGCCAGTTGGAAACCAGAAGTCCGGGATTAACTTTCTTCACCACTGCCACTGCATGGTAAAATGGTCCATCCCCATAGTTCCTGCACAAGGATGTGGTGTATAAGAAAGTTTGGGTTAGTGGTGATACACTACTCATAAGGTTGCCGAAAATTCTTCGACAGCACACGACCGGTTTCGCCCCTCTTGGGGCTCATTAGTTAAGCACAGTTGCCAATTTTACATCAATTTTATGTTCTACTTGAACCCAAATTGCACGAAATCAGCAAAATACACTCGTTTGTAAACAAATTCTGTTTTGCGGAAGACTCACCCAGAACCCAGCTGAATCTATCCTTTGTGATGTTTTTAAGCAACTGAATGTGCTGCACCAGGCTGCCTAATGTTTCAGTTGGTACGATATTCGAGATGTCGAGATACATGCATATACGTAATGCATCATTCATAAGGTTGCTAAGAGCTCTTCGACAGCCCACCACCGGTTTTGCTGTTCTTGCAGTTCATCAGGTAGACGCACTGCCCGATTTTATGTGTACAATACCTGGCCCGCAAGCCAAGACAGTTGATGAATTTAGTTCGCATAGAATTCAGTGACCTCAAGAGCTGCGTGTAGTATTGTACTCTACCATATTTACCCAGAGGGTCGAGTCATCCCCATCAAATAATCGATTTGTCACTGTTACAAACTCTCATCTCCAGAAGACTACTTCACTGTCCCGATATTTTTCTGCTTTCCTGTTGCTATCAACTCAGTCCTATGGAAAACAGTCTACAACTTACTGCTTCGTGAGGGTTAAATATTCAAATCCTGTATAGACTGTCTGTATGTCCCTCAGGTAAGGGAATAACTGGAATATCCTTATAAGAGACATTGCTACACTGATATGTGCTCGTAAGGCAGATTTTAAGAACTTCTAAAATCCTGGGGTTATCAAAGATAACAAGGATGCTGAGGTTTTATCAAGATCTGATGACTTCCCTCTGGGGATCAGAGGAAACATGTTTATTTGACTCGTGAGGATAAAAAAGAACACATTCTGTCTCAGTTGAAGGGGAAGTTTTTGCAGATCTTCCACGACTTGTTGAAATTCGACGGTCGATGTAAGTAGGAGCCTCGTCTGTCGTACCAACAACCAAGGGGTTCACTGGATGTGACAACGCACCCTTTACAAACCTCAGGGCATGAGGTGATATTTGGGATAAAAGAGAAATGCAAACAATCAGAACTTGATTAGATTCCTACCGACCTCCTAAAAATGACAATTCGCTTTTCATAAAATTAACGAACTGGTTAATCTCCTCAGTGAGTTTTACTTCTTCTGCAAGAAACGGAGCAACTTGACTGGGTCTCACGTGCGGTCCCTTTTCGAAAATACGAGAGTTTTGTAATCAGGTGTTCTTCTGTTCAAGGTGGAACAGGCTGACTCGAGACCAACTGTCATTTTAAAGTGTGGCATTCTTCAACAAAGGTTGTCACGTTAACTGTCTGATGTGGTCAACAAACGAAAACCGTTGGTACTCTGATTATTACAGGAGAGCAAGCCATAAATTAATAGCATTCACGATTAGTCGTGCAAATTAACAGGTTATGCCAACAACATCTTAATCCGATTCAAGACGGTATAAACGTTCCTTCCAAATGAACTGAGTTTCACGCAAAACCGACAGGGTCAATCAAATCCTTCATTTGCAAAACCAACTGTTATGAGCTTAAGGCACAAGCGACGTTTTTCCGACAAGTGTGCTGTGTAGACTCTGTCTCACATATATTTTTGTAACGCACTATTCATAAGGTTGCTGAAAACTCCTCGACAGCCGACGACCGGTTTCGCCCTTCTTGGGGCTCATCAGGTAGACGCAATCCCCTAGTTTCCGTCAACCTTATGTTCTACTTGAAACCAAATTGCACGAAATTGGCGATTATACACTCATTTGTAAACTAATTTGGTTTTTCGAGAGACTCATCTGGAACCCAACTGAATCTCTCGGTTTTGATGTTTCCAGGCAACTGAATGTCTAACTTATTTAATGTCAATCAATATTTCAACACCAGTTGGACAGGCTCTGTTATTTAGAAACCGACAAAATGTACCGCACTGGACAGTTCACCGAGCGCAGAGCAATCGTGAAACGTAGATATCACCAACTGGACGTCACAGAGAAAGTATGAATCGAGTGCAATTTCTCGTCATGAAAATATTACTTATTGGACTCACGTAGCTTTTTACTCACAAACGATGAACCACAGTCGCTGATAGCTTGTCGAAGATGTGCACACGCTCCAGTCAAGCAAAAAGTTCTATTCAGAGTCAACAATTCTGAACTTCGAACAGAATCCCAACGATTCTTTGTCAAGAGAAAAACACGTGACCAGAGGTATTCTATGCATATTTATCCTGACTGTCGAACCCTCCGATAGCCTTGTGACTTTAGATTGACGTTTTAATTGCCACGCAAAATTTCATGTCGCTAGTTTCGGTTCACTGCTTGGCACAATGCCGTTTTTTCTGTTATAGTTGAAGCACGACCCTGTGAATGGGGTTAGATGGATCGACGGTACTTCTGCCTCATCGAATTCGTGTATAGATTATGCTAGCCTCTTGGCTGGTGGGTCACGGAAAAGACTACAGGGGTGCTCGTGATGTACCCGGCCATCCACTTCCGTACCGTTCGATGTTAACTGAATGTTAATAAAATGAAAGTGAAGAGAGAACTGTGGTACTTGAGCAGCACGTTTTCATCTAACTGCATCTCTCATGTGCGGTTGATAGACCGAGAGAGAACTCTAACGGTGGCGCACGCTGGTAGCCCGGATTTCGTGGATGGTGGTTGGTTGATTTAGTGGGCAGCCAAGTTAACTGACCCTCATGGCAGCATCTTTTAGTCAACAGAGAAGAATAAACACCCACTAGTGTGCGACGCAGTACATTTAGTTTCTACGACACTCAATTGATGAGACCTAGTACGCACAGTTACAGTAAGGCTGTCCAAAGTTACTGCACAACAAAGCACACATTGTGGTTGATGTTGAGGAATAAACTACGCTGACTGCGTGGCAGCAAGATTAGGATGTATTTGTTTGCTGCAAGTGCCACTCGTGCTTGGGTTTGCAGAGGTTGGAAAATGTTTGGGACCGATCGGGTAGTCATCGTCTCAGAGAGGTTTGGTAAATAATCGGCGCTTTTATTGCTGTGCAACGCCGTTCTTGTTTTTGACTAAGTTGTATGTTCTCAAGAACAAGGTCTGGCGATTGGATCTCCAATACCCCCGGTTTTGGCCAACTTGTACATGGAAGACTTTGAGCAGAAAGCTTTAGACGGATTCGACCATTCTCCGAGGGTTTTCTGGCCTAACGCAGGTGACATATTTGTTATGATAAAGCGGGATAAGGTGAACGAGTTCTTCCAATATCTGAGCACTTTAGACCATCACATTAAGTTTAGCATGGAGCTAGAGTCCACATCGGGTACACTACATTTCCTTGACTGCATGACACACAAGAGTGATGGGAAGCTAAAAACCACTGTTTACCGGAAATCAACAGATATTGGTGCAGTCTTAAACTACTCCCCGACACACCCTAAAGCAGTATATGCTAGTATAGTTTCGACGATGTTTAAGACAGTAAAAGCACTGTGAACAGAGGAGGCCGACCGAACAGTGGTGCAAATTGAGGTGAAAAAGCGACTTCAGTATAGCGGACCCAGTGGGTTTAATCAGGGGGCAACTAAGACGGGTAGTGGTCCCAACAACAAGGCCGAACAAGGAGTGGATCGGAACAGCGGTCATTCCATACAAAAACGGGGACATTTGAAGTCCTTAGACGGTTACTGATTACGGCTAACATGAGAGTAGCATTCCAGAAGGGAAATACTTTACGCTTATTGTTGGTGTAGTTGGAGGATCGCCGTTCGGTTGATAGGACTAGGAATTGTGTATACAAAATAAAATGTAACGGCTTTAGGAAGGTTTATACGGGTCAGATAGCCATGGAATTGCACACTGCAATCAGTGAGCACAAGTGATGCATTAGAAGGCCACCGAGAAACGTAGACGAATATCAGGCGAATGGCAGGGCATGCACTGGATACTGGACAGAGGTTAGAATTGGAAAATGTGGAGATTCTCAGACGGGGACGAAGATTCACATCGCAGCGACTGGTGGCCGAGGCGGTGGAAATCGCCAAGCATCCCAGCGTAAATAGAATATAGGGCGTAGATCTTGCTCGAGGCAGTGTGTAAAATGGCCGAGGCCTAAAAGTACAAAACCCAAGCGGAGTAAGGTCCAAAACAATTGTCTCGGCACCCCTCGACGAACACAGGCGAAGAAGGTTTGTGAACGACCCCTAAGATGAATATTGCAATAAAATGTCATAGAACGGAAAAACAAGGTCGTAAAATCCGGTTTTAACGTGAAGACACCCCTCCTAACCAATCTATCGTAAATGTCAGCCATACCCAACAACAACAAAACAGGAACTTCAGATAGATACCCACCGGCTAGCCATAAGAAATCTCATGGATTGGTTACCTGAATGCCTTAAAACTCGATCAACCTAGTTACTTACTCACCTGACCTGATGAAGCTTTTGTGCCAAAGGCGAAACGTTGCCCGGCAGTGAATCCACAGGTTGTTTACCAAACCTCTCTGAAACTCGTTTCAGAGACGTTCTCGGACAGGAGAGGTTCTGTACCGTTCTGGTTGATGGTAAGCTTCATTTCTCAGTTTACCAGTCCAAAGACTGCCACGACAGGAGTGCGCTTAGTTGAGTTTCTAACGAACAGTCATTCTATGGCTCTTATTAGGCTAATTTCGCATCCACTTTACTTTCCAAAGGTTATTAGCTCTGCTCTAGCACGTCTGGTCACTGACTAATCCGCTCAAATGCATAATTTATCTGCTCGTTACGAACTGTAACAAACACGAAAAGCTCCAAACACCAGCCGGGGACCTGTAACACGCTTTTTGACATTCTGAGTTCAAACTGTGTTCTGTGATAGCAGGTGGAGGCGACATCATAAGTGCGTCGTTGTGTAGCGAACTGGTGCGGTGTACCACTGCTACTGTGTCATGGCACACACA